CACCGTCCCAGTGTCTGTGTCCATTGGTTATCGCTATATATGCATGCATATAACTCCTTTGGTTGATCTCCAACCCCCCTCCCACAGCCCCCCCTCCTGCCTGCTTTCTCTCTGAGGTTGGATGGTCTGTTCAGTGCTACCTTGACTCTGGATCTATTTTTGTTCATCAGTTTATGTTGATCATTATATCCCACAAATGAGTGAGATCATGTGATATTTATCTTTCTCTGACTGGCTTATTTAGCTTAGCATAGTGCTCTCCAGTTCCATTCATGCTGTTGCAAAGAATTCCTTCTCTTTTTTTATTTTATAACTCTATATCGTTTTATTAAAACAAAACCTTACAGTGGTGTATGAAGTTTACATTTAGACAAAGTTTTCACAGAAATCTAACACATGCCTAAAAGGATTTTAAAATGAAGGTCAGATGTAGGTCTGGATGTCAAGAACTGACGGATTTCATGAGTCAAGACAGCATTTTGGGTATTAGTTAATTCTTGGGATAAAAAAAAAAAAGAATTTTTGTTTTGTGTCTTAAAGTGAACCACTGCCCCAATCTGAAAGTGAAAGTTTAATCTTCTCCTGAGAGGACTTTTGAAATGATCCTACTCTTGAAGTGATTCAATGAATTTCTGCTGTCAGTGACTGAACCCTGCCACCAATGGTTTCAGAGTTCAAAGTTCAAAAAACAGAGAGGCTCCAAGAGTTTTTCTGTCCTAAAGACATGGGCCCCTCTCTTCACTCTCACACCTCTTATTCCATCCTCTTCACCTCCCCCCAAATACCTCAGCTAGGAGCTTGGATGGACAAGCCAATATCTTTGGCTTCATAATTAGAAAAGAAAGGGTCTTGTCAATTTCAAGAATTAGCACCTCTAAGACAGAATGATCTGCCTATATATATGCTCCAATAAAAGACTTTCCCTTCTCAACTAATTTCCATCCCCCCGCCCAAAATGGCAGCTTTGGTAACTTATCAACTGGCTTAGTCCTTTGTTGGGAACAGAATTAATCTCAGGCAGGGAACACCTTGACCTGTAAGTTTCAGGCACTTACCGCTTTTAAACAGTCTCTCAGAGTCCTCAATTAGATTGCCAATTACATTTTTTAAAAAGAAAATACTCTGGACACAAAAGCAGTTCTTTAGCTGTTTCTTCTTTTCATTGTTTCATCATTTCCCCAACCAGGCCCAAAATTTTAATAAAAACAATCCTACTCATCTCCCTTCCTGCACCATCCCTCCCACCCCCAAACAATACAGCAGTAGTAGCCAAAAACTACACACATGCTACGCTGTAAAAATGCAGCTAACACTATTGGGAAGAAGGCTGTGGGTTGTGGAGATGCTCTTTGAAGATCTACAGTATCTTTCTGCTCTCACACATACCCTTCTGCAGGTTTTGTCCTTCATAGAAGGCCCTTCGCTTTTCTCAGCAAAGTGCAGAATGAATTGCCTTGAAACACTTCCCCTCCTTCCCCTCCACATGGATGGGTGTGCAAACTATACAGCATGGAACGGCTTTAAAGCACTTGGGCTGCTGTAGGGCACAGAAACTATACTGGCTCTTCAAAGGACATCTTCTCAAGCCACTTCTATGGTATCAAGACAAGTAGAACTCCCTCCCCTCTCCACTTGAAACCCACAGTCAGATGTGACAGGGGCTGGTACTCAGGAGAGTTAATTCTTGTCATCTTTTTTGTCATCATCCTCTGAGGGATCAGAATGCCACGTCAGCCTTTCCTCATAGAAGGATATGACGACCTGGGGGCACTTGACATTGGCTTCCTTGGCTGGGACCAGATCAGCCTCATCAGAGTTTTTCCATTTCATCAGGAACATGAGCTCTCCACTGGAGTCTGTAGCTCTAATAATCTGGGTCTTCTTTCTTCTTTGGTTTGCTCTCCTCGCCCTTATCTTCAGAATCAGAGTCAGCTTTGCACTTGCCTCCTTCTGATTTATCTGTCTCATGTGCTGTTTTCTGTGACTGTAAAAACTCAGCAATGAGGTTGGGGCAATCCAAGTTCTCTTCTGGCTCCACGTGTTGTCCTCATCTGAGAACTCCGTCCACTTGAGGAGGTACTCCACTTTGCCCTTTACTTCTCGATGGTCAAGAACTTTTTCCACCGCATATTCCTCTTCCTCCTCTTCTAACACCTCCTCCACTTTCTTCTTGGTTTTTTTTTTCTTCCCCATAGTGCTGCCAGTTTTCTGGTATAAAGGGTGACGCTGCTCAGAGCAGCTCTCAAGAGCACGAAAGGAATTGGTGCTGCGCTACTGGTGCATCAGTCGGGGGGCCAGAGGACTGGCGCCCAGAAAAACAACAGGCCGGGTGGCCGCGTTGAGCCCCTCACTGAAGCAGCATACCGCAGGCCCAAGCCAATGGCCCTCTCCTTAGCCCAACAAAAGAGCTTCTCCGAAATTTTTTTCTTTTTTATAGCCGCGTAATATTCCATTGTGTAGATGTACCACAGTTTTTCTTTTTTTATTTTAGTGGCTCTATTACTTCAGGTCCAATTATGTAGCATTTCATATTAATCAGATAATGAAATGAACATGACCATTGAAGCTACTGATACCTGGGTTCAGACTGGTTTTCACTACCAATTGACTGTGTAAATCTATCAGGTTATTTAAACTCCTTTGGCATCAATTTCCACATCTGTGAATTAAGTGTAGTAATTAAGTTTACCTCGCAGAATGATCATGAGGATTAACAACATGTTCATAAGCAGAGTGTCTAATATAGACTATGGGATATATGAGGTTCTTCCTAAATATTATAATTATTTTTGCATTGTATTGAAATATCTTAGAGAGAAAAATTAAGCATTTGGTGCCTCATCTTGCAGGGAGAAACTATTCTTTGACAACTATTATAGGAGACAGTGGAGGCAATATTTTCCCAGTTGAATTTTCTGTGGTTGTGTTGTGTACCCTGCTTTGTAAATCATTTGTACTAATGGCTCGAGTTGGATTAGCAGCCAAAAGAGTGTGTCCTGATAAAGATTATTAAACGAGCTATTTTGACACATTTCAGCTACTTGAAATAAGAAAAGTATTTTTCTTGTGTACACAAATACACTGTATAAACACATACACAAGGAAATAATTTCACTATGCTTAAAAACAAACAAAAGAAAGAACCCAAACAAAAACTCTAGGGGCTTCCAGTTTAGGAGTGGCCTAAACTTTGCTACTTTAATACAAGGGTCCTCAAACTTTTTAAACAGAGGGCTAGTTCACTGTTCCTCAGACTGTTGGAGGGCCGAACTATAGTTTAAAAAAAACTATGAACAAATTTCTATGCACGCTGCACATATCTTATTTTGAAGTAAAAAAACAAAAAGGGAACATATACAATATTTGTATTTGCATGTAGCCCACGGGCCATAGTTTGAGGACCCCTGCTTTAATATATGAACACCAATTTCATGTCTTAGCAGCACAGATGAAAATCTAGCTTTGAGTGAATTTTAAAAATCAAGTACTTAAGAAGTTTGGATAAAGGATTCAAATGGTTTGTATTATTTTATAATTAAAATAAATTGAAAATTATGAGGAATACTAATATTATTTTACTAGAGGCCTAGTGCACAAAATTCATGCACTGGTAGGGTCCCTAGCAGCTGCCGGCTGCCAGCCAGATACTCCCTCTCTTTCCCCGGCCTCCTGCTGCCACTGGGGCCTACCACCCTTCCCCCAGCCACCTGCTGTAGCCTCCAGCTAGCAGCTCCCTTTCTTCCCCTGGCTAACCCTACCCCCTGGTTAACTCCCAGATGAACTCCTAGTCGAGGGGGCAATTTGCATACTTTGCTTTTATTATATAGGATTATATTCTTTCAAATTCAGGACAAATTGAATTAAAAACAGGTTTTGTTTTTATTAACCCCAAACAATATTTTTTTCTTAAATAGAGAAGGCTAGTATATAAAACAACCATAGTTGGATAATAAAATATTAACTCCAATTATCCTATAGAATAAATAGGTAATATGCAAATTAACCCTCACACCCTCACAAAATGGCTGCCTATGACCAGGCTGACAGGGCAGTTAGTGAGGGACAACCAAATGACTGAACAGCCAGGTTGCGTGGGGTGATCAGGCCAACAGGGGGGCGATAAGGTCAGCAGGAGGGGCAGTTAGGTGCAACCAGGCCGGCAGAGGGGGGCAGTAAGAGCCAACCAGCCTGACAGAGGGAGTGTAGTTGGGGGTGACCAGTCCAGTGGGGGGGGACAGTTAGGGGCAATCAGGCTGGCATGCAGAAGCAGTGAGGGGCAATCAGACCAGCAGGGTGGGGCAGTTAGGGGCGACCAGGCAGGCAGGAAGGTGAACGATTAAGAGCCAGCAGTCCAGGATTGTGAGAGTGATGTCTGACTGCCCGATCCCTGTCGGGCCTAAACTGGCAGTCAGACATCCCCCAAGGGGCCCTGGATTGGAGAGGGTGCAGGATGGGCTGAGGGCCCCCCCCCGCATGAATTTCATGCACAGGGCCCCTAGTATTGTCATGATTTGTAGGTGTCCCTCATGCCTTGGTTTTAAAAAATGTGAAAACTTTCATGACATTTTAAGAATCTTCAGAAACCCAAGAAACTTGAATGTATGCATGTTATCTAAAAGTTGAAAAATTTACAATGCCTTCTTATGAATGAATATGAATTTTTATATGATGCAATACCTGTTAACTAGAGGGAAACTATTTATTGTTTTTGTTAGTAATGGAAAAATGCTAATTTATAATTCCATTTAAATAATGCTATTCTTTCTCTATACTGGTGCTTGACAGTTGTCATCTTCTGTTGTTTGTATATTCTAATAAGTGAACATACATGTTTCACACTCCTGGTGTAGGACAGTGTAATTTGAGGATGCATTTTTGATCTAGTGAGATAATGTCTTTCCCCTCTGGCATGAAAGGCAATAAATAGCATCTTTCTAGATAATACAAATAAGAAGACATAGTTAATTTATACAGTGGAATGACGATATCACGTGGTATAAATTATTTGACAAGAAAATTCATATTATATGGGTTTACCTCTTTTTTTTCTGATAAAGTCTAGTTACCCAAAGTAACAGAAATTTTATGCTAACATAACTTCACTGAAATCAGAGGGGATCAATATCTTGGGTTATCAGTATTATTTACCATTGTGTCCTATATGTTAAGACTGCTTTTACTTTGAGGGTCTTCCTCCCTGAGTGACCCATTTAAAAATGCAAATAATTATTGAAAAGGTGAAAGATTAAGTCTTCTATCCATGATATGTATGAGTGCATTAGTTGGTTTATTTTGTGTTAATGTGGACTTGAGGACTTTATAGAGGAAAGGACTCAGAAAAGGAGACATGAGAAGATGCTGACCAAGTTAACCCTTCTTCACTGTGTGTCTAAGGCTGGTGGTGAATGGCATAGCTAGTACTCCCAGCAACCCCTTCTTCCCTGACTAGCCTCAGGTCATTGCATGTGTTCAAAGAATCCCGCTTACTCCAGTGTCTGCTGGGATTCTCTCCATCCTTCCTGTAAGAAAGAGTCCTAAAGATAAAAGCAATATAACAATTTAAGCAACTAATTTTTCCATGTTTTAATTCTAAAGCCCAAAATGTGTGTGTTTGATTTCTTTTGAATTAGAGGAAAAAACAATTAGTTTGGTAGGTAGCCACAGGGATATATGATGTCTGTTCCAAAACCACTCTGGTCTAACAATATCTATTTAGAAATTTTTATGAAAAACTAAGCTTTAGCCACTAGTTGTTCCAGCTAAAAGCTGGAGAAGGAAAACAGACAATGAAGCTAAAAATATCACAAAACAGTCATTGCCAGCAAAATAAATCACTTCTTCAATCTCTACAACAGGGGAGAAAACTTAACATATGCAGATGCTATAATAATTTTCATGTCAATGATTGCTTAATAATTAATTAGCTAATTATTAATTACTAGAGGCTTGTTGCATGAAGAGATTCGTGCAATAGGCCTTCCTTTCCCTTGGCTTCTGGCTCCGGTTTTCCTCCGGCACCCGGGACCCAGGCCTTTGCTCTGGCCGGAGACTTCAGTCTTTGTGGCTTCAGACAGAGCCTTCAGTCTTTGCCCCTACATATGCAAATTAACTGCTATTTTTGTTGGGTTAATTTGCATACTCCCCTGATTGGCTGGTGAGCATAGTGGAGGGATGGTTAATTTACATACTTGTCTATTATTAGGTAAGATCATCTCAACAAGCTTGGGACCTGAAGACACATATAATAATGCAATGATTTCTATGCTTTTCTTTCCTTTCACAGTGAAATGTGCCCTGAAAGACACCGCTAAGTGTTTTATCAAGCGTGGAAACTGTAGAGCTCAGTGCCTTGTAACAGAAAAAAAAATTGGTCCCTGCCTAAAAGGAGAAGCCTCCTGTTGTAAATAGATGTCTGAAATTAAAATCAGCTTCCCTGACAAATAAAGCACAGTGAATGTGACTAATAAATGGAACTGAATTATCATCTACTCTTAACGTCTACTCTTAACAGGTGCTTTCCTGGTCACACCGCATCACTTGAGGAACTAGGTTCTTTCCTAAGGATCTAGCAATAGCCAAAGATATTCAATATATAAGGTTGTTTTGTGGAAACATGCCATCATTTTGGATGTAAGTTCTCTATTAATTGGCAGGAAAATGCTAAGTGATACAAAAAAACCCTATTATTATCAGGATTCTTCAATTCAAAGATATTTCAACTTGTCAGAACATTTCTCCAAGTGAGGGAGGAGTTGAGAGACACCAAAGAAATTAAACAAATAGGATCTTCGGCAGGTTATGGATCAGGGGACCTGATTCAATGTGAGCAGGAAGTCCTAACATCAGTTAAATCCTTCAGCTTTTTGCGTTTGTTTTCTCAAACAAGGAACTTAAAAAAGAGACCGTATTTAAAACTAAGCGTAGATGTATGGCAATGAAGACAGGCAACAGCGAGCTCTAATGAAAGTTGGAAGAGTTCCACAGCTAACACCTATAGAGCAGGGGACAAAAATTCAGTCGATCACTACAAACGATAACTCTTGTTCACTAAAAAACATTAGAAACTTTATTTACAGTCATATTTTTATGTTGTATATTAATGTGTGGTTTTGAAACACTTTGTGATGCAGAAATGTTTTTGACTGACACAAAATGTCTAGGAGGTAATGCAGTGTTCATGGCATAGATCAGGCAACTAACAAGAGAATTGTACTTAACAGCACAAATACTGGAAACAAATTACCAAGGTTCTAATTTAGGGGAGCAATCACGGTGGGATTTCTTAAATAAATCTGATTTGTTAATTAATGTTTTGAGAGTTTGTTTGGCCACATAGTTAATTACACAGTTATACATGACTGAAAAATAAGCTCTGTTGTACAATGAATACAATAAATTTAAACACAGATTTGAATACATTGGAACAGCTGGAGAAAGAGGGCAAAGTAAATGCAGAGTTGAAAAAGAAGCCATATCTGAAACTAAGGAGCAGCCATAGACAATGAAAACAGGTAATTAGGGAGGTCTGGTGACCATATGTTTATGTTTAGCTGCTAGCACTATAACTAAGCTTAGGAGACAGACTTTTAATTAGATTGACCTGGTAGCCAAGTAATAAATGCTCAAACTTTTATTTCTTTTTATCTGTCTTTTTTCTTATACATAAAACTTTTCAGATTCTCTTTAGCAATTGAAACTTTTATAAAGAGATAGAAAAACCAATTCTGTAATTCCTCAAGATTGTATAATTTACTTCCAAACCAATTTTCCTGTGAGTACATAATCCATATAAAGAAAAAGTCACTCTCTTATAACCTAGACTATTAATTTCAAAAATTTTCACAAATAAAAACCCATTTTACACAAAACTTCATAGTTCTTTTATAGGCAAATGATTACAATTTAGGGCAGTGGTTCTCAACCTTCCTAATGCCGAGACCCTTTAATTCAGCTCCTCATGTTGTGGTGACCCCCAACCATAAAATTATTTTTGTTGCTACTTCATAACTATAATTTTGCTACTGTTATAAATCGTAATGTAAATATCTGATATGCAGGATGTATTTTCATTGTTACAAATTGAACATAATTAAAGCATAGTAATTAATCACAAAAACAATATGTAATTGTATATGTGTTTTCCAATGTTCTTAGGCGACCCCTGTGAAAGGGTCATTCGACCCCCAAAGGGGTCACGAACCACAGCTTGAGAACCTCTGATTTAGGGAGTTTAAGAAACTACAGTATGATCTAAAATTAATCTGCATATGCACACACACATACACACATATTTATATGTGCATAAAGATAAGTAGTTAGGAAAGCAGATGGGTAGATAGATAGATAGATAGATAGATAAATAGATAGATAGATTAGATAGATTTATTATTCTATAGGCAACGTTTGTATGTATTTGTATTCACCAACCACTTTCAATCAGTTTCCTACTGGATTCCTACCCAAATAAAATTGGGTACCATTGGCATAGACAGTTTTACAAAATGTTCATAAACTAAATACCTCTCAATACCACAGTGATTGGGGCACATAAGTAAGTAAGTATGCAAGTGAATTAATAAATAAAACATTGCTTGTCTAATCTGCATTATCAAGTGAGTCATATGCACCAAGGTCCGTTAACAGAGCAGTCTAGTCAGCCAAGCTTGCTCTATTCCAGCTCTGATGCCAGAACATTGCTCATTACTGCAAGTTTGGAGGAAGCCACAGCCATCACAGAAAGCCACTTGCTGTGAAGCCAGAAATCTGTTGTCATAGTAACTATTATTGATACCTGATACTTAACCCTACAGCAGCCACTGAAGAATTTAGTAGTGTCAATTATAATAAAAAAGAGATAAATCAAGAGGCGGTTGGAACAATACAGATGAGAGACAATGATGACTCAGAGAAGATTCCTGCAATGAATATAATTGAGTGAAAATTAGTTATACCTGGATGGTAGAATCTGCAGGAGTTGAAGATTGATTTTATGTGGAAATAAAATAGTCCAGGAGGTACTCACAGACAGTGCAGTAGACCCTCCCGCTCTCTACTAGGTAACAGCCTCACTTGCTCACACCAGGCAGGACTCTAAGTTTTGCTCAGGTGATCTATTTATAATTCCATAAACCAATGTAAATATCAGGTTGGAGATTGACTATCAAACTTAACTTTGTGTGGAAAGTTCATTTAAAGTGACTTTGTAATGAAGTCATGAATACCATTTTAACTGGAATCCCAAGGGATAATTCCTAATCACAGCCTCTGGCTACTTCTCTCACAAAATTTCTGCCAGGGTTATAAATTCAGGCTTGGACATTCCTTTTGCTATTTCTAAAATCACCTTACATGAACCTCGATAATTAACAACCAACCCTCATCAGTTTCTTAAAATTACTGCTGAATTGTAGTTTCCATGTCCTGGAATTTTAGAACAATGTTTCTTTCCTTTATGTCCACTTTGGTCTCTGATTTAGAAATACAGATGGACTCTGGACTTATCATACTCCTTAGTTTTCATGTTTGGACCATGGAGGCCCATATGTTCTAAACACCAAGGTAAATTGTCTGCAGCCCCCATTTCTCTCCATGTGCTTTGAGTTGTACTAAAGAATTTATGACATTTTTCATCTTGATTGGTTATATTGTAATTGCCTCTTATTTTTGCTTCTTGTTCTAATAGTTTCCTACAATAGTGACACTCCAGTTTCACCAGACTAATTTTTAGAAAAGAAATTTTCTAAAGTCACTCCCATGCTTAAGCATACTAATGATTCCTCATTTCTATATAAGTCAGTTTCACAATGGCCTATTCTTCCTAATCTTACTGTCAATTCTTCACATCTAGTGACATTCACAAATCCAAGACTGTCCTTGCATTTTTAAAAATACTCTTCCTTACTTTCAGTGTATAAAATTCCTCATTCTGCAAAATATATTATGATTGTTGTCTCCTATGATACTCTTCCTGCTTCTCCATCATTGGATTAAGCAAATACTTTAAACTAGTTTTTGTTATTGTTGTTTTAGATTTTCTGGATAAAATAATATTGGTGTTATGATTCCTATTATCGTATCATAAAAATATACTTCTCATTATGTCTTTCATCCTAAAATTAAAATTTTCTGTTTATGGCATTAAAAATACTACATCCCTATGAGAAATCTTTTTAGAAAACCTTTAATGGTTAAAAAATCATGTTTCCTCAGAAAATTTTGACTAACTAGAATTCTATTATATAAAACCTTAGAAAATTTATATACATATATATTTATTTTATAGCTGAGTTATACATTGCCTTATATGTGCTACCCTGACAACATGTACATACAGCATTTCTGACCCCCAGAAAACTTTTCAGAGTTATTTCCTTATGTGTTTTTCTCTGGTACAAGATTACCATCTCCTTTAGGATAGAGATCATGTCTAGATCATTTTACTATTCCTCCATATTTGGATATCAATTAGTTAGTTGAATAAGTTAATAAATCCATTGCAATATTTATCATAAGGCTATATTCTAAATAAAAGAAGCATTTTATATTTCTATATCTTTGATTGATTTATAAAATCTCTTTGGTTGGAATACTTCTAATAGTATAGTTATATCTAGTAGGCTATATCTTTACATCAATTTTTGAAAAATTGTTTCTGCAAATATCTAGTATTGATATTTTTGAGAAATATCACTCTTCCCATATTTGGGTTGGAAAGGAGGATTGTAGAAAAAAGGGTGACATCTCTGGAACACATATTCTTTTTCAACCAACAAATTTCATCAATTTTGATGGAAAAGATACCCTTTATAACTTATCATTTCAGAATCTCATTAGAGACAATCCTCTGACTCCACTCTAGGTTCCAAATCCTACTAGCACATATCAAATAGAAAGAAGTCATAGTTACCAGGTTTCTGGATGGTGGCTAAGTCCATGAAGAATCATTAGACTTTCCATTCTAAACAAAAATTGAGGAAAATCCCAATTAAAATTTTATGATTTTACCTCATTATGTGCATTCTCATTAGGTCTCCAAGAATTGCAATACCTCCACCTAAGTATTTCCAATTCTTTTAATACATGCACTTTTCATTAAAAATGAGGGATGGATTAAATACAAATAACTAGAACTTTACCAGATTGTGGGTATATGTGTGAAAATATTGTATTAATTGCCAAATATCACTGGTTTCATGTCTCTCAATGGCTTTCGAGTAGAACTTTAGTAGTTATAACCAAGAATCCACAGAAATACTTAGGAATCTCAGAATGACATGAGACTTATTCATGGAAACAGCGTCCTCCGATTCTTCTTCTAAGTCAGGCTATCACTCTTCTTCCTTACTTCTATGCTGCTTGTGCTGACCACCAGGCCTCGCCAACATCAGTTCTATTATCTTACAAAGGTCAGATCCTGGCTTTGTTCTCCCAGGTTTCTCATCTCTAAAATAAGTGGGTTGACTGGACAAACTCTAGTTCTTATCAGACCTAAAATTCTATGACTATAGATTTTCCCATCTTCCCATGTAAGGGCAAGAGATGAGAGTAGA